TGTGGAGTAGGGGCTGTGTGGAGTAGCGCAGTGTGGAGTAGGGGCTGTGTGGAGTAGTGCAGTGTGGAGTAGGAGCTGTGTGGAGTAGGACAGTGGAGTAGGGGCTGTGTGGAGTAGCACTGTGGAGTAGGGGCTGTGTGGAGTAGTGCAGTGTGGAGTAGGGGCTGTGTGGAGTGGCGCAGTGTGGAGTAGGGGCTGTGTGGAGTAGTGCAGTGTGGAGTAGGGGCTGTGTGGAGTAGCATAGTGTGGAGTAGGGGCTGTGTGGAGTAGCATAGTGTGGAGTAGGGGCTGTGTGGAGTAGCACAGTGTGGAGTAGGGGCTGTGTGGAGTAGTGCAGTGTGGAGTAGGGGCTGTGTGGAGTAGCACAGTGTGGAGTAGGGGCTGTGTGGAGTAGTGCAGTGTGGAGTAGGGGCTGTGTGGAGTAGGGGCTGTGTGGAGTAGTGCAGTGTGGAGTAGGGGCTGTGTGGAGTAGGGGCTGTGTGGAGTAGTGCAGTGTGGAATAGGGGCTGTGTGGAGTAGCACAGTGTGGAGTAGGGGCTGTGTGGAGTAGCACAGCATGGAGTAGGGGCTGTGTGGAGTAGTGCAGCGTGGAGTAGCGCAGTGTGGAGTAGGGGCTGTGTGGAGTAGCGCAGTGTGGAGTAGGGGCTGTGTGGCCTAGCGCAGTGTGGAGTAGGGGCTGTGTGGAGTAGCGCAGCGTGGAGTAGGGGCTGTGTGGAGGAGCACAGTGTGGAGTAGGGGCTGTGTGGAGTAGTGCAGCGTGGAGTAGGGGCTGTGTGGCCTAGCGCAGTGTGGAGTAGCAGCACGTGTGGAGTAGGACATGCACACATTTAGATGAGGGGTGATGATATAAGTACTCCATCCCTAATTGGGTCCAAAGTAATGTTTGCTTATCTTACAAAAAGAGTTCTGCACTTTTACTTTAATGTGAAAAATGCACCAAGTTATGCTTTTCAGGAAAAATAATAATCTAGTAGAACCTCCATAGTTGACCACCTCCCCACATTGACCCCCTCCCTGCACTGACCACCTCCTTAAGCTGTCATAGTTTTCACAGACTGGACTGGACATACACCCCATGTCCTATCAGGCCAGCAGGCCTAGTTCCTGATGTCGACCACCTCTGTGTGTTGACCTGTTTGTTACAGTCCACCTGGTGACGGGTGGTCACTGTACAGAGAGTCTGCAGTACGAACGACAGTACTTTCCCATAATGAACTGACCCAGAGGAGTTAGAGAAGGATCCAGCTTCTGCCTCTGGCCACCCTGTGAAAGTGCATTGTTTTTTAGACTGAGGTCACAGGCTGCCCCCTTCCTCTTCCTTTTTAGCCTCTCTCCCTCTGACAGATTTATAGGAGAAAATAAATAATTGAGTGTTCTAGTTTCAAAGACCATCTCTCCCATTTCCTGCTTCACCAGAGGCTCTGTGTGGAAACTAGAGCAGCAGTTGTAAATATTGATTGCTGGGGGAAGTCAGGTGAGAGAAGGGGCAGTGTTACTTAATGAGTGTAACTGTTGATGTCCCCTCTCAAGACTCCTCTGACTTCACTTCCCGTGGAACACTAATCATCTGTCCGGCTTCCCTGATCCACCACTGGAAAAATGAGGTTGAGAAACGTGTGAACAGCAACAAACTAAGAGTCTGTCTGTATCACGGGCCGAACCGGGATCACCGTGCGAAAGTGTGAGTGCAAGACGTGCAGTCGTGGCGGCCGGCCGGCACCTGGGCTGGAGGGGCCCTGTTGACCTGTCCTGCCTCCACTGAGATTTCACTTAGTTGGGACTAAGGATGTTTCTGAAGCCCAAAGGCAGGTTTTCACTCTCTTCACCCGACAGCTTTGCCCTGTACTACGAGATACATCTTGAGATCAAATTGTGTCTTTTGCTATGTCCTAGTCATTGTCCCCAACAAAAACTGTCCCGTGAGGAGGCCTGAGATGCCTGAGTTAGCTGCCAAGTGGTGGCCACGTTCCCCCGGTGAAAGGGGACCTGCCTCAAGTCTCTCCCCATTGCCCCAGTTCTGGTTCCAGGGTCACATTCTTCTGTTCGTGGGCGTGCGCCCAGCCCCGTCTCAGAGTGTCTGTACAGACCAGCACTGCGAATGTTGGCTGCTATGGCTGATTATACTTTGATGGCTGCATTTTTAATATATGACCCATCTAAGCCATTTTAGATTTAAAAGTTTAGGATGATTAGACTTAACTATAAATTCCTGAAGGAGGATGATCAGAAAGGAGGAAAGAAAAGGCCTGGCCTCTGACATTGGATATTTTATCCCCTGAAGAACAGGGCAGCAGTCTTTCAGGGATAAGTTGCCAGACTGGCGACCCTCAGTCTTACAACACACTCACTCTTGACTCAGTAGTCCCGGTGGCAGTGCCAGGCCTGCAGGCCTTCTCTGGCATAGGATACTGCCGCTTGCTTGCTTTTGTTTTAAACTTTTATTTAGCAGTAAATTGGATCTCATTTGATTTACACATTGAGGACAGTTTGTTTGGTATTCAGAAGGTACTAGCTGACCTACCGAGATCACTGTCAATCATACTTGTTTGCGTGATGCTCAGGTATCTGGTAGGCCCTGTGCCTCTCTCAATTGGCCATATCATTTTTTCAAAAGTATTTACTGAAGTTTTCTCAGATGAACAATAGTAAGCTTCATCAAAAGAAGATTTATGTTTTGCATTGAGAGTCTTTACGAGGAAAGGGTGTAAGCAGAGTGAACTAAAACCTTACAGCATGTATGTTTATACCCAATGTCAAAGCTAGATCATTGGGTTTTCACGAATCCATTATAGAGTGGTGGGCAGAAGCAGCACTGGTGTAAGGTGCTTTGAGGCTTTCTTTCTTCTCTGGGACTTTGGTGTCATCCATCTAAAATTGTTACTAAATGTTAATTCCCAGCTCTGTCCTACTTTCTGTTCTGGCCAGATCATATCAAACCTGAGATTTTCCTTTCTGATTCATTGGATAGGAAGAGGGAAGCCATTCTAGACTGCAAACGTGTTGTGTGTGTGTCTTAGGGACCGAAGGTCATGGCTCTACTGTCCTTCCTGTCACAGGCAGTTTTGTAGGAGGTCACCCACACTCTCATTGTCACAGTCCATAGAGGAATCCTTACTGATTGCTCTGTGTTGTATCTCTGCGGCCTCTTTCCTTACTGATTGCTCTGTGTTGTATCTCTGC